AAGAAACATGTGAAACACCAAGTCTTATGGGACTGAGCAACTCTAGATTCTTCAGCCTTCCATTCATTGCTAGCCATTGTTGGACTACAGTCTGAGGCATTCCAATAAATCCCCATACACATGCATATGTAGATAGATAGATGATAGATAGATAGATAGATAGATAGATAGATGGATGATAGACAGATACAGATAGATAGATACAGATAGACAGATATAGAGGATAGATATACATAGTAAGATGATAGATACATAGACAGATAGATAGATAGATAGAGATATAGAGATATAGACATAAAATATAATTTTCTATTGTATGAAGCTAAAGAATATGGGAAATAGTAAATCATAGGTTTGGGTGTCATTTCTGATGAAAACTGTCCAAAATAAAACATGAATCATTTGATACATGGCTAAATTTGGTTATTTGCTTTATCAAGTTGATAGATACTTGTCACTTAGTGGGAAACTACTTGTTTAATAATTTAATCTTATAGGCATTCATTTTTGAAACTTATTAAAGTTCAAAGATTCAGAAAATTCATACTTAAGAAGGAAACACCATCATCAAATTCCAATCACTGAGAAAGAAGAAAGTAAATTCTGTTGCCAGTTCCAAAGCTACCATTACAATTGTACTTAAAGTACTGAATGATAGAGATGGTACAGCAGTTAAGAACACTGGCTGCTCTTCTAGAGGACCTAGATTCAATTCTCAGTACACACATGGTAGCTCACAACTGTCTATAACTACAGTTCTAGGGGACCTGACACCCTCACATAGACATACATTCAGGCAAAACATCAATACACATAAAATAAAAATAAATTAATTTAAAGTACTGAATGAAATTTAACATCACCTTCTAAATGGTGATGTCTTATTCCAGGAGCATCCTGAGTTGATGGAGTTCCAAGTGTTATGTTTGTACACCACTACCACCTGGATACTTAGTTTTATTTTGTTGTTGTTTTATTTTTTAATGAAAATGAGACATGTCTGATCAGGCAATAGTATTTCCTTCTTGGGTCTCTGATGGAGTTGAAGACTTCATAGCTACAGTTAAGTTTTTCTTGTTAACCAATTCAGAGAAGAAATTCACTTAATAAATGTAAAGTGTATAAGGCTAAAAGACAGAAAAAGATAGTTTTGATAATGCAAGTTAGAACAGAAAGTAAATTAGGTACAGCATTTAGACCGAACAAAATAGGATAGATACTGGAGTATTTTTTCTGAATTTGTCAAACGCTAATGGACTAGCATTGTTGATACATTTATCACCTATATAATTTGTATATAGTTATTGTACTTATTGCATGTGCTTTACTTATATTAGTTACAACCTTTTTTTACTTTGGGACAAAAGGCAAAATGTGGTGATAATTTGTTTGTGCTTCTTGAAGGTCTGTATTCATGGAGTTCTTTGGTTGTTGGTCCAGGCCCTACCTCAGGCTAAATACTTCCTACAAAAAGGTGAAGGTGGAGCATAGACAGGTCACATTGGACATGCAGAGCTTGGAGAATGAGAATACCAGGCTTCAAAAAAGTTCAATGAGCTGGCCAAGGAGACAGGCTTCTATTGGTAAGTGCCTATCTTGTCAGGGACCACCGATATTGTGGAATGGTCATCTCTGCCTTTCTTTGTTGCTGGTTTGGAGAGTTCACAGCTCTTGCTCTAGCCTTTCTCCTTCTTAGCAATAAGCTCTAGGATTTATAGCTCTTGGAATCAGTTTTTCCAAGTGTGAAAGAGACTGTTAGCTCCCTCCAGCACCATATCGTCATTCTCAGTCGTCTCTAGATCAGTGATTCTCCACCTTCCTAATTCTGTGACCCTTCAATACAGTTCCTTTTGTTTTTGTGACCCCTGAGATAAGAATGTTGCTAAGTCTTTCTGCTTTTACATTGTGATTATGTTCAGAAGTGTGTTTGTTGACTGACTATGATTGGGCATAGGGAGAACTCCACAGCAACATTTCTGGACTCCCTAAGTAAAATCCCCATGTTTTCCTTGTTTGGGAAAATAATTGCTTTGGAAAAAAAAACTCCCATGTTCTCCTTGTCACCTGAGGTAAGAAATATTTCTCATTTTTTTTTCTGTCGTGGTTGTTGTGATGGCTATTCTAGATAATCAAACTGACTACCTCTGGAATTAACTAAAACTCAGTGAGCTGGGCAATTTTTTGATTGTTTGTTTGTATTTTGGGTTTTTCAAGACAGGATTTCTCAGTAGATATAGAGCCAGTCCTGGAACTCCCGTTGTAGACCAAGCTGGCCTTGAACACAAAGAGATCTATCTGTCTCTGCCTCTCAAATACTGGAACCAAAGGCATGTGCCATCACCACCCGGAAGGCTTTTTCTTATTAAAGGTTTTAATCTGTACCTTTGTAGGTGATAAAATACACCTTTACCAGCTTGGTGTTGGTGCACATCTTTAATCCCAGCTCTCAGGATGCAGAAGCATTTGGATATCCTGAGTTTGAGACCTGACATGTCTACAGAATGTGATGCAGGGCTCCACAGATAAATGCTGTATCAAATAAAATAAAATCATGAGAAAAAAATATCTATCTATAATCTGGGTCACATGCTTCTGTGGCAGTGTACATATATAAGGGATTCTGAAGGAGAGATCTCTCTCTCTTTGCATGCTTGCCCTAGCTCCAGCTACTTAGTTTATTCTGTTAATAGCTTTAGACTCTATTTCCTTGAAACACTCTTCTCTACTGAAGACCAGCTGAGACATACAGACTCATAAACCAACCAACTACTGGATTCTTCAGCTTTCCATTGGTAGACAGCCATTGTTGGACTAGCTGGGCCAGAGCCTGTGAGACATTCTAATAAATCCATATTCTACAAACACAGAGAGAGTCATTCTATCCGTCCTATTCAAATAGAGAAGATTGAATAAAAGAAGTGTTTATTCACCTGCCCACTGGAAGATGTGTTGGTGCCCCATGTTGTTCATAAAGGCATTCTTCTCAGCACCATTCTATCTGAGTATTCAAATTACCATGCAGACTACATTTCTATTATTATTCATTTCTCAAAAATTATTCATTTCCTAAAAATTTGACATGAATTTCAGGAATAAAACTCCCATTGCAATGGAGATATCACCCAGGCTTCTAGCAGGAGAAAGATACATCATCTCATTTGTGATATGATTCCTGCATTTCTCTCATGGTTGTCTGAAGAGCCTGTGACTGCCAGGTAAAAAGTACTCTCCACTCTCCTGACCTCAGCATTAAGCCACAGAACAAACATCTTCTTCTGTGTAGGAAAATATCTCTTTATTTTTTAATATCCTGGGCAACCTTCCATCTGTTGAATAGAGGAACCATTCCAGTTAGCATTATGTAATTGTCTGTGCAAGTGAAACACATTGTGTGGAGGAGGAAGATGAGGATGTACCTGTGAACGGCAGGAAGAGAGCTGGGTCATCTATTGGAGATGGGGTAAGTGATATTGAAATTCGTGTCTCTGCAGATCTCTAAAAAGTCTGGATCTGGAGTAGAAGCCAGAGCCAGGGACCCCTGTGCTGTGTCTTTAAGCGTACTCTAACCCTTAAGGAAGTGTTCTTGTCACTCAATCCTCACTAGCCAATCAGAGACACCAGGCCAACATGCCAGTCACAGGCCTTGCAGGTCACTTCCTGGAACCATCCTACAGACTTTAAGTTACAGCAGGTTGGGCACCAGTGGATTGATTGCTGCGCTGAGTGATACTGTAGGGAACTATGAGGGGAGCATGGATGAACATGGAAGCCACAGCATGGTGAGCAAGGGGATGCCATCCCAAGGTGGGCAGGACTGAATGGGGAGGCATGGGAGACTGTGTGGCAGGCCCTCCCAGAGGTTGGGTGCAGCCAAGTTGAGTGTTCCATGAGGTACATTATGGTCCTAGTCCCCAGACCCTGGTGCTGGCCTATGAATACTTTTCACTGTGTCAGCTGCACCTGTGGAAATCATTTCAATCAGTGAGCATTGTGTGGAAACATCTTTGTAGTCAACACCAATGTCCTTTTGCTGCATATGGAAGAAAAGTCGACAAGCTTGGAAGGGCCTAGTTTCTCTAGTATCTTCTAGAAGTTCTGCACTTCACATTTAACATTTAGGGGTAAGATCCATTTGGAGGTAATGTTATGCATTCTGTAAATGGCATTCTACTTCTTTTTTTAATATGTACTTATTTTTGGTTTATTGAGACAGGATTACTCTGTATAGTTTAGAAGCCTGACATGGAACTTGCCCTGTGGAGCAGGCTAGCATGAAATCTGCCTGCCTCTACCTCCTGACCGCTGGGATTAAAGGGATGGGCCACTTAAGACCTGTAAATGGCATTCTTGTGTTGGATCACACTCCACTACTAAGCTATGATGTAGAAGAGTAGAGTTGTTGTTCTAACAAATTTACCAATTTTTAGGGAATAGTGAGTCCCAAAAATAGAATTTAGCTGAGGGAGTGCTGCCTCTAGAATAACCCAAAGGTAACTATGTGCTAACTAGACCTGTTAGAGGTTAGGATGCTAAAATACACATTTGTCCTCCAGGATTGTTCAGACATTTGGCTCTAAACCATGACACAGGAGAAACCCCTGACTTACAAACAGCCCCTATACCCATCCCATACCAAAACAGAGGACTTTTACACAAGCTGCTCACTGCATCACCATGAACATTAGGTCATGGTGTGCCATATAGGTTCAGTTTTCTTCTAGAGAAAATCATAGTTCTGACAGCTGGGTAAGATGAGACCAGGTGACATCTATTTGAAAAGGAAAACACTCTTGTGTTGAAGTGAGCAAGCAAGACTTTCTGTTTAGGTCCTCACTCATGGAGGAGGAACACAGCTCCTTCTCCAAACCCAGGGCCATGCTTTGCAGAGCCAGTAACAGCCTGGGGACCTAGACTTAGGAGTTTTCCATCAGGTCCTGAGGTATCAAGAATCACATAGAGCTCCTCCATTAAGACTAGGAAGATGCGTGGGAGAGAATGTAATGGTCTGGAGCCAGGGCCTTTGTGGAGGGGTTGCTTCAGATCCTGACAACTTGCCACCAGATGGAGCTGTGGTTATCCATCCCAAGGCATCTGTGGGCTTGGTAATGTTCTTGGGATATCCTGTGTTCCCCTTGTGCTGCATTGTTTGAGCAGCCTTCTCCTGAGTTTGTCCCATTGTATGATAGTTTCTGCTAACTTCCTAGAAGTCTCCTAATTCCTTCCATTTGTCCCTGGAAGTAGTATACAAAGAGCTAACTTAGAATAAGACATAGCGTCAGCAAGACCTCCCTGCCCCAGCTTTTATGTTTTCTTCATTCTGCCTTTCCTATCTTTCCCATGTGTGGCCTCTCTACCTCAGGACCTGTCAGTAAACTGTGGCTTGTTGTTTCATGTTACATGTATACTATGAAATAATTATGCTAATCTTTCTGCTGACTTCTTTCATTTGCCTAACTGTCCCGACTTGCAGTTTCCTGTCACTATTTAAATTCTTCAAAGTGCAACCTGGAGTCTGACCCTAAAAGAACTTAACATGACAGCATATGTGGAATGCAAAATCTGTTTTAGGAGCCAGGCAGTGGTGGTGCATGCTTTTAATTCCAGCACTGGGGAATCAAAGGCAAGCAGATCACTGTGAGTTTGAGCCATCCTGGTCTACAAAGCTAGTTCCAGGACAACTGGGACTGTTGCACAGAGAAACCCTGTCAATAAAATATCTGTTTTAGGCTCTCTGCTCTTTGAGCATTAGTCAGAGATGGATGCATACTATCATTACAGAGATTTTTCTTTCTTAATCTCTTAAGTATGTGGAGTTATTTCTCATAGGAAAGGCATATTCTAGAACAGCTGCACTTCTAGCCTTTTAGAAAAAGTTTCTGAGATAAGCTCTCTCAGGTGACCTTGATACCAGTCTGTTTCTTTCCAAGGCAATGACCTTATTGTCCTTTTGATTACCCCTTCTTAAATTAAGTGACTATGACCTCTGAGTTTTAAAATCATCCATTTGAGACCTATAGTTCACTGTGCATTGCAGTCACAGGAAAAGGATTTGCATGTGAAACAAGGTTTCTGCCTTCAGACCAGGGTAGAAAGAATACTTGATTGAGTACTCTGCAAGGGGAAACAGGGTAGGAAATCAGCTGCTTGAGTCACCATCTTGAAAAAGGACCTGATTGTCGAAATGGGATAGTTCAAATGTAATTGTCCCTATAATCTCATAGGAAATGACACTATTAGAAGGGGTGTCTTTGCTGCAGTGAGTTTAAGATTCTTGAAAGAAATGTATCATCACTGGTGATTGACTTTGGGGTTTCCTATGCTCTAGATATGGCCAAGCATATCAGTCAACTTCCTGTGGCCTGCATATCAAGATGTAGCCAGTACCACAATATCCTTCAAATCACGCTCCCCACTATGATGATAATGGACTGAACCTCTGAAATTTTAAGTGAGCCACCACAATTAAATGTTTTCTTCATGAGTTGTGGTGGTCATGGTGTTTGTTCACAGCAATAAAAATCCTCACTAAGACAGGCAGATTCAGTGATATTCTTCTTTAAATCCCAGGATGTATTAATTCATGTTATGTGAATGAAGACAGACTAGATTTGCGGGTTCACAGTTTGGGAATGTTATATTGAGCTCAGGCATGGCTCCAGGCTATGTAATTTAGAATTGCTTTGAACACCACTAACCCTGCCTCTGCTACCCAATGCTGGGAAGACTCTCCTGCAATTCCTTCAAGACAGGACTTTGAGTGGTCATTGAGAAGGAACAATACACAATTTAATGAGTGTTTACCAATCTCTGTGGCTTGTACTGGGCACTGCAAATGAAAAGAGATCTATGAAAGAATTGAGTTCATTTACCAACTTTGAAGCTGGTGTAGACACAGTGCAGAAAGGGGTTAGAGAAGGAAGGAACATGAGCAAATGCCTTCTTGTCAGCCGTGGAAATTAGCAGTATGGAGTCTTGTAATCAATCTTAGATGATTGCTAAAATGCCAGACTGGTCATTTCTTGGGGTCCCACAGGCAAGGGCAATTAATAATCTGGATAAAGAACTGGTGTTTTCATGAAGCCAAATTGCTGTAGTTATACCAGTTCAACCAAAATAGAAGATCTGCATAAAATCATGTAACCCTGCCTTACTGACTGTTATTTTATTGGTTTATGATGTGACTGGCCCTTGGTATTCTCTCATTCAAATCCCTGGTATCTGCATAAAGCCTGTTTCGCCTTTTCAAAAGAATTCTTGAGATTATAATTGCATTATATCTTTAGTATCTATACTCTTTTTGCTAACTCCCAGCCCTACCATGAACCCTCATTGCTTTCTAGTTCATGGCCTGTTTTTCTTTAACATCAGTTATACATTAACAATACTGTATGACTTTTGAATGTTTGAATGGGACCTGTGTATGGATGTAGAACTTCCCAGAATCAAGCAAAGGCTTGGCTACCCTGGATACTGAATGTGTATGTGCATATAAAGGACCCTGTGCCTTGGAAGAGAACAGGAAGTGTTCTGGGAGACTGGGAGAATGGCTACTAAAGCACAAACTTTCCAGACTAGGACCGTGTCTACTGAGATGGATGGGCAGAGCTAGGAATGTCTATGCTGTCTTAGTTATTTGGTCTCTACATACCCAAGAGGGGAGTTGTCGATGTTCTGTGGTCCATCTGTGTGTCCCTAACTAATGGGGCATGCTGGGAGGGCTTAGCACTCAAGAGGATCAGTTGGATGTAGCTAGCACATTCATTACAGGATTCTTTGTTGGCTGTTTTGTAGGAGCTATAATGAAGACCACAGCCATAACACAGTGATTGTGTGGGCTGCAGAGCAGGAGGAGTGGATCTTCCCAGCTGTCTTTGCTACTGGGACTGGAGGGACCATGAGTCATGTACTAGCCTGGGCAGTGGTCCTTGTCCTCTGAGCCTCCATGAGTGTAGGCTCTCTGAGGAGAGGAAGGCATTGCAGCCCTGGTTGTGGGAATCTGTGATATTTGTATATCAGTATACAGTATGCATCACAGGATTGCTTTTGGTGTGTGGTGGTTACATACAACTGAAAGTTTGACTTCTATAATTTATGAATATTGCATTCCACTTTCAAGTTTGTCTTACACATGTTACATATCATCTTTTAGCAATACATTATCAGAATTCTTTTACCTTTCTGCTACCACCAGCTACAATGGCATGATTCAGGAAAGTTGAGTTCCAGGGAACAAAAGGAATTTCTGATTGGCAGAAGTTTCTAAGTTGTGCACAGTGCTGGATGTGGATATGGCAGATTCCACATGTTGTGTCATGATACATGTGACAGGAAGCAGACATTAAATTATTCCTCCATGTTATTTTCTGTGTGGGCATCAATGGGGCTGGATTTGCCTCAAACCACAAGGGAACATGAGAGTTTGCAGAACCATAGCAAGAGATAACCCCATTTGTAGAGAGAGCTCTAAATCCTGAGATGTCTCTGTAAGAAACATCAATAGCTGGAGAGTCAGTAGCAGAAAAGTTTAAGGGTCCTTTTGAGGTAATTTTGTGGAAGTTGTGAAGTCTGTTTATTTAATTTCTAAACATGTAAAATCATGGGTAGTTGGGTAACATTGGTCAACATCACAGTTTACCTGGCTGAGTTTCCTTTGGCCTTTTTATTAAAAGTTGATTATATTTTCCTGATGTTGTTCTTGACTTTTTCTCTCCGTCCCCCTTATTCTTTCCCAAAAATTGTATACCTTCTTGACTGCTGTAGATTCGCTGTAAGTATAGAAGTCACATTGTGTCAATGTGTGAACAATTTTTTGTAGTCCTCTTGAGAAATCTATCTGCTTCCACTTTGCATATAGCTTTGGTATCATATATCCTGTCATAAGGTGTTGGGAATTTTCTGTGGATTGTATTCAATTCATGTTGCAAATTTACCTTATACAGCATCTTAATATTAATGCATCAAGTTCCCAATGATTATTTATTTACTCCTTTATTTATGTAGGCTCTTCTATTCTTGTTCTTAATCTGTGAAAGACTTTTAGTGTTTTGCCTAAAAAGGACTATGGAGCTTGGCAGGTGGCTCAGCACATACTCTTCTTGGGGATGACCTGAGTTCAGATCGAAACACCCAAATTTGGAGGCCCATAACTACCTGCTACTCCAGATCCAGGGTATCTGACTCCCTCTTCTCTGGTATGTCACATGTACACAAATGGAAAACCTGTCTCACACACAAACTGTATGTACAAAAAATTGGGATGACCTTGTTTTCAAAATTCTTGTTACTTATAAAGAAATGAGAGCAAAACAATTCACTTTGTGTACATAATACAAATCATACACTGTTTATTTTTAATTTATTTTAAAAATTTAGTTTTCATTTTACATACCAACCCCAGTTTCCCTCCCTCCCTTGACCTCTCTCCCTATTCATCAACCATTCAATCCTCAGAGGGGGTAATGTCTTCTTTTGGGAGTCAACAATGTCTGGCACACCAAGTTGAGGACAGACCAAGACACTCTATCCTGTATCAAGACTGTGCAAGGTATCCCACCATAGGGAGTAGGCTCCAAAGAGCAGGTCATGCAGCTGGGATGGGTCCTGGTTTCATTAACAGTGGTCACCCAACAGATAAAGTCACATAACTGTCACCCACATTCAGAGGGTCTAGTTTGGTCCCATGAAGGTTCCCCAGCTGCCAGTCTATAGTCTGTGAGCTCCCACTAGTAACACTAGTAGGAGGTGTAATTTTGTTAGTATGGACATTTCCTTGTTAGAGGAAGTATGTCAGTATGGGGTCAGGAATTGAGGTTCTTATACTCAGGATGCTTCCCAGTGTCTCAGTCAAATTCCTGTTGCCTCTAAGTCAAGAATTAAGGACTCTAACCTTCAGTATCACATCTGCCTGCATGCTGCCATGCCCCCCACCCATGATGATAATTGACTGAACCTCTGAAATGTTAGGTGAGACTCCTCTATTAAATGCTTCCTTTTTAAGAGTTGTCATGGTTCATAGTGTCTCTTCATAGCAATAGAAACCTAATAAAGATAGAAGTTGGTACCAGGGCCTGGGGTATTTCTGTGATAGGCTGACCCTATCACACAATTTATCTGATGTGTTCTCAGTAGTTTTCATATAGTAGCTTTATGTCTGTTCATTGGGATTTCTTTCTTAAGGCTATATACTATTTAAAGGGCCAAGAAATGGTGCATGTGAACCTCCTATTGTTTCCTTCTAAAGTGACTTGGTGAATACATTATAATGTCCATGTCATGCAGTAAGTGTGGGAAGCACCAGAATTAAATGACTATACTGTCAAAGAAGTGCACATCTACAGTGTGAGCATCACACTTCCTGTTTTACACATCTGTGGGTCATTTTAGAATGTGGTGACCTATGACGATGTGCACATCACCTTCACTCAGGAAGAGTGGGCTCTGCTGGATCCTTCCCAGAAGAGTCTCTATAAAGATGTGATACTGGAGACCTACAGGAACCCCTCTGCCATAGGTAAGACTGAATTTTCCTTCATGACTTAAAATAAGGGGATAGCTGTGTCTTGATTATTGATACTCTTCTCTAATTTTGGTTGAGAAAAGGGAAAATAGGTGAATAAGGCATAGTTCTAAGGTTCATTGAAGATATTAACTTAAATTTTGTACAATTTCCATTAATATATAATATATTTTCTGGTCCTACATTTTAGGCTACAGTTGGAAAGACCATAATATTGGAGAACATTGTCAAAATTCTAGAAGATGGAGAAGGTAATTTTCATGTACAAGTTTATACAAATTTGCCCCTGAATAAATTTTAATGTGTCCTGGAAGTTTTAAAGAAAACCAACAGTGTAAATTAGCATAGCTTAAAGTATATTGATGACTCTTAATTTCTCACAAAACCATGTACCTCAAAGCCAAGTAGTTATTCTGTATTTGTAAGGCATTCCTGTGAAAAAGAAGATAATAAAACAATGCTTTAACAGATACCACCATTTGAAATATAGCCCCCATGAGAGCTATGCTGTAAGAATGCCAATCCATTTAGATTCATACTACTCAGATATTTTAAATGGTATATACATTGAATAGGTGATAAGTATATGTCCAAGACCTTCTAAGAAAAAAAAAAGTCTGTAGGAAAGCTGCCATTACTCATATATTGGTGACTTTGCTATGTGTGTTGAAAGGGTGAGTTTATGAAATGGTAAAGTAGGTTGTTGTAAAGAAATCTTAATCCCTGTACCACAAGTCTGTGAGGAAAAGAAAGCCAACAGTGTGAATGCAAAGTGGAAACCTTTTATTTATTATTCTTCTTTTAATATTAATATCATGTCCAACCAGGCAGTGGCAGCACACACCTTTAATCCCAACACTCAGGAGATAGAGGCAAGTGAATCTCTGTGAGCTGAAGGCTGGTCTGTTCTAAAGAGCAAGTACCAGGACAGGCTCAAAAAAACCCTGTCTCAAAAACACAAGAAAAGAAGAGAATACTATATGTTATTCTAAATATAAACCATGCAAGCATAGAATATGGAAAGAAGAGATGTACCTCTCTCTGTGTGTCTCTCTGTTGTCTCTATCTCTATCTCTGTCTTGTTCTCTCAGGACAATTAAAGTTATGAAAGATATTTATTAGTTCCTACTTTGAGTAGAACTGTTGAATATGATACAAGTTTACAATTAATTGGTTTTCCAACTTCATTGGAAAGACATCAACAAACTCACACTGCAGAAAAGCCCTATGAGCATTAGAATGTATGAATACTTCCATATATCCTGGTACTTTTTTCCAATGTAGTAAGACTCACAGCATACAAAAACTTATGAATGCAATAAGTGTGGCAAAGCTATGAGTTCCTCCAGTTCTTTTCAAATATGTGAAAAATCTCATATAAAAAATGCCATAAATGTGGGCCATGAAATAAAGGCTCTTATTATCACAGGTATCTTCAAAGACACAAAACGACCCCAAATGAATGGAAGCATCATGAATGTAAAACTTAAGATCAGATTCCTCTTTACAATTAGGCCAAATTATAAAATTAATTTATGCAGCTACTAAGTTTCATCAGTATAATGTATGTGTTAAAACTTTTATATACACCAATTATCTTTGCAGGAATGAAAGAAGCCATACAGAAGAGAAACCCTATGTATATACTCAGTGTGTTAAAGCCTTTACATGTTGCTAGCATCTTCAAAGGCATGAAAAAATTCATACTGCAGAGAAGCCATATGAAAGTATTCATCATGATGAAGTCTTTGAATGTCACAGTTGTCTCCAATTCCATAGAACAAAACATGCTGGAGAGAAAACTCATGAAAGTAAACAATGTGGTAAAGCTTTTGAAAGTCATGCTGTGCTTAAAGGACATATAAGAAATCATATTGGAATGAAAATATATGAATGTAATCAATGTGGTAAAGTTTTTGCAAGTGCTGGTGTTCTTAAAATACATATAAGAACACATACTGGAGAGAAACCATACAAATGTAATCAATGTGGTAAAGCTTTTGCAAGTGCTGGTGCTCTTAAAATACATATAAGAACACATACTGGAGTGAAACTTACAAATGTAATCAATGTGATAAAGCTTTTGCAAGTTATTTTCACCTTCAAAGACATAAAAGAACACATAATGGAGAGAAAACCTATGAATGTAATCAATGGGATAAAGCCTTTTCACAACGCCGTAAACTCCAAATACATATAAGAACACATACTAGAGGAAAATCCTATGAGTGTAATCAATGTGGTAAAGCTTTTGCAACTCATGATGGGCTTAAAAGACATATAAGAACACATACTGGAGGGAAACCCTATGAATGTAATTGATGTGGTAAAGCTTTTTCACAACATGGCAACCTTGCAAAACATAAAAGAACACATCCTTGAGCGAGACCCTGTGAAGGTAATCATCATGATAAAGTCTTTCTATGTATCATCAGTCTTTATAATCATGAGCAAAAATTATACTGCAGAGAAACCCTATAAATGTAAGCAGTGTGGTAAAGCTGTGCACTTTGCATATGAAAATAATCTTTGAGGACCTGAGAAAATTCATACTGAAGGGAATCTTACTATAAAGGATTTGATAAGATCTTCAGCCAACACACATTTAGTTACACAAGATTAGGAAGAGAAAAAAAATCTGACAAGTGTTAACAATCTGATCAAGCATTCTGATGCTTCTATTTTGTTTGTACCTGCAAATTCATATGGACAAAAGTTCTATGAATTCCTGATGAGGTAACCCTTTTTGATTGCACACTGCTATTTAATTACATGAAAAACCCATTCAGATGGATTGATTTACCTAAATTCAATCCTATATGCTTACTGTCTGTCACATGAACCAACTCATGATGAAGGAAAACTTTACAGCCTAAACACCTGTGTTACAGGAATGAATGCTTACAAAAGAAAATATTCATGAGTGAAAGTCTGTTTGGTTAAAGAGTTGATTTAATTTTAATTATGTAATATCAATGTGTGGGTTTGTGACTGTTCCTGCTTGTTCCCAAGAGAGTTAGACTCTTGTGTATTCCTGTAGCAGAAACTACAGAATATTCTCAAAAACCTGGCCTAGGTCCTCGCAATGAACTTGTCATAATTTTGCTGGTCCATATATCTAATCTTGTACATATTTTAAATGCTTTTTTATCATCTTGATATCAGGTCATAGGGAAGAACTCATGAAGAGAAAACCCAATTCATATAAACAATTTGGTAAAAGCTTTAGACATCATACTTTGATGCTGTAATAATAAACGGCACACTTACTGAAAGTAAAACTAAGTATTTATTGTAGAAATTACTCACAAGATACCAAGCAAGTAACACAGATGAGTCCAGTAGTTTTCCGCTGCCGAACCGGAAGCCGAAATCTGGGAAAAGAGACCAAGACTTCCTGTGTGCTGTCTTTTATGCCTTCCCCCGTAATGCTCCCTAGCCATGCCCAAAAGTGGGCCTGGCTAGTGACGTAGTTCACCGCCTATGTACGTATACATCTTTACGTTCATCCATATACGTCTTTAGTCATGCCTAAAGTGGGTGTGGTTAGCGGTGTGGTAAACTGCTCTTTTATTACCTCATCTGTATGCACCTCTAGTAAGTCACATGGTTAATGGCGGCATACAGGCTTCCTCCTACAATACTTGTCTTTAATTTCAATAAAGAAAATTTTTTTCATGTGAAAGTGGGGTGTTAGTAAGTTCATGAGACCCAAGACAAATGATAAATGGGTGTTTTATTGGGGAACACCTTACACAGATAATAATAAAGACTCACTGGTGGTGTTCCTGCTCCAAAAGATACAGTCTCTGCCCTGCTGACATGATCTACAACCCTATACAGAGAGAGAGTCCTCTCCACACTTCTCCACCTTCTGTTCACATATGCAGAACCAAAGGTACAGCACTCCAGACAACTTCTTACTTCCTCAGAAGAACTGAGCAGAAAGCCTGGCTCCAGATGAACCCTACCATCTGACTGGTGGGCCTGTTAGAGGCTCTGATTGGCTACTGAAACCTGAGTGACAGAACCAGGAGAGACGCAGTGCAGTGGTTTAATCTGAGCAAAGAATTCCTGTGTGGCGTCAGGGGAACAGAAAATCAAAATCATGAGGTGAATTGAGAGGTGGGGCCTTTTACCACCCCTCCAGGGGGGGTGGAGCTTCAAATGGCAGCCTTTTTAGGGCCAGAGTCTGAACTGAGGTGACTCCAGAGCAAGGCCCATCCTTGGTACCTTGAGGGTGGGTTTGAAACAGGGCTATCAACACATTCCAACCTCTTTGTATAGACATAGAAGCTAGTAGGACTTCCACCTAAATAACCCAGAGTCCTCAGATATAGGGGCATCAGTTTAAGTCTGGCTTCTTCCTGCTGACAAGGGACAATATGGGGAGAGGGCGAGTCAGGACTCACATTCAGCAGGAGTTAAGGGTAGAGAAGTAATCCATTAACTGCTGTCCTGTATACCTCAGGCATCTGTTCCTTGAGGAAGCAGAGAAGGCAGGTTGGGGGAAGCTTCCACCAGAATGGTGAGGTGCAAGTAGCACCACTCAAAGTCCTGCCCTCAGGTTGCCAAGGATGGACCCTCCCCTGGATTCAACTCAGTTCAAACTCTGCCCTTACATGTCTGCCATTGCAGGCTCCATCCCCAGGGGACGCTAAAGGACCCTACCTCCCCTCCTCTGGATTCACCTCCTGATTTCTGATTTTCTGTTCCCATTGGGCCAACCAGGAATGCTTTCCTCAGATTAAGCATGGATTTATTAATTCAGTCTTATTGAATCATTACATCACCAACTGTGGGATTCCATCAACTTTTCCACTAACCAGGATTTTTAAACATAACAGGGAGATTTTGCTCTTGGGCACCCATGGTTTTCTACAGCCACTTTCGGGAACTTGCTCATCCTTCCAGGGCTATGGAACAGAGGAAAAAGTAAAGAAATCTCATACTAGCAACTTAACAGAACATATGAAAGCTCTAGAACAAAAGCATACCCAAGAGGAGTAGACAGGAAGAAATTTTCAAACTGAGGGCTAAAATGAACAAAATAGGAACAAAGAAAAATGTCAACCGATCAGAAACCAACCCGTACCTACTGATGTAAACCTGTAACTTTTGTCTTTAAAACTTAGCAGTAGAGAGGGAACTAGAGGCTGCTGTGACAGCTTGCTAGATGGGGACCCTATCATGGTTGAAAGCACAATTAAAACCTTGCTTTTACAGTTTAGTGGGTCTGTGTCTCTGGTGGTCTCTGGAGGTCTTTGCAATTTGGACGCTAGAGAAACTAAGCTGTAAAGCAGATTTATGAAGTTTGTGTGGCTGTGGTACAATGTGGAAAGCTGTTCTTGTAGCACTGCAGTAAGAGCCAGCCAAGCAGCCAGAGGTTCACACCTGAGAAGGGGGATTGTGGACTAAAGAAAGGCTAGCTAAAAGATGCTAACAGAAAGACAGGGACACAGGATAGAGTCAGGAGGGCAGTTCAGTCAATAATGAATGCCCTGAGACCAGTTTTCACCATTCTTATATACCTTAACCAAAAAAGGGGAACATGGTATCATGCATATGGAATGAACAGACTTTCTTCCCCTTTTCTCCAGGGATTCAGTAACCACACCTTAGATTCAACTTCTTGTTACCTGGCCTTGAGAGTCAGGAGTAACCACACCTCAAACCAGGTCTGTTGTTATTTAGAATAAGACAGCCAAGGCCAAGATTGAACATCCTGCTGTAGCCACACCTTTGACCTTTAGGCCTTACGACTTACTGAGGCCAGTTTTGAACTTTGCCTTTGAGCTAAAATGGAGTGGAGCCATCTTTATGGGCACCAACAGTGCAACACGTTTCTCTTATTTATCTGCCTTTGTCAAAAGGCAGTCATGAGTAAAGGGAGGATGTGGGCGTTCAATTCTTTGCCTGACTGACATCCAAACTGCTTATCCAAATTTTTTAATCATTTTAGTTCTTGTGATGATGTCATGACTGGTCTGGCACTCCTTGGTATAAGGTTGACTACTTTACTGTCTCAGCCTCTGGGGTAGCTGGGATTGCTGGATAATGGCTATGGGTACTCCACTACACAATTTTAAAGTGAACTTCTATAGAAAGGATGACACTTGTTATATACTTGTTAGGGTTAGGGATTGAGGTTTTTTCCCAACATTTTAGAGTATTTCCCTGTATATTAGTGTATATGTATCTTATAATTGCCTTTTTTTGGGGGGTTGGGTTCAAGACAGGATTTCTCTGTGATTTTGGAAGCTGTCCTGGAACTACCTCTTGTAGACCAGGCTGGTCTCAAACTCACAGAGATCCACCTGTGTCTGCCTCTCCCATGCTGGAATTAAAGGTGTGTACCACCACTGCCCAGCTACATCTGCTTTTGATGCTGTTTAAAGTTGCCCTTGCAACTTTTTTTTGTCAGTCTGCAAATATTCCCAAAATTGAAATATTTTAAAAATCTTTTAGGTTATTGCTTGCTAAGCTTTAGTGACTAAGTGTAGATATCAAATATGTTAAGGTTTTGATTTGTTCAGTTTTGATGTGTAGTTTGTGTATGTCTGTGGGCTCCTTCCTTATACAAGATTTCATGTAGTACACACTCATCTCTATGCAGCACAAGAGGCCTGATTATCCTCTTAAGTGCTGGGTGACAAGTATGTGCCACTGTGCCTGTCATTGTGTTGGATTTTTTGAGAAAGAGTCTTGCTATGTTACCTATAATGGCCTCAAACTCTGGCTATCTCCCTGCATTAGCTTCTTGGGAGCTGACGTTACAAGCAGTTCCAACTTGAGCTACCAGACTACACTGGTGGCCAAGTTTTTAAACTAGGTGTCACAGAGGAAGTGTGGCAGTGACCTCCAGTCTAGCCAAAGACACTTAATCACTGCACTATGGAGCTTTACTGTAGTTACTTAATTTTGGGATTTCTTTTTAATCAACGGGAAAGCAAATGCACTTTAAAAAAGAATTTAGCCAGGCAGTGGTGGTTCAAGCCTTTAATATAAGCACTCTGGAGACAGAGGCAGGTAGATATCTGAGTTGGAGGACATCAAGGTCTACAAAGAGAAACCCTTTCTCAAAATTATATATATATATATGTATATATATACATATATACATATATACATATATATATACATATATGTGTGTATGGGTATGTTTTAGTTATTTTAAATTATGTGCATATATGTACATGAATATGCCTGTGCCCATGAAGATCAGGAAAAGTTATCATCTCTAGGAGCTGTAGTTATGGGCAGTTGAGAGCCACTAGAGTTGGGAGCTATAAATAGAACTCCAGCCCTCTGGAAGAACAAGAAGTGCTCTTAACCTGAGCTATCATGCTAGCCCAACAGATGCACTATTAACAGTTGTTCTGTGTGTGTGTAAACCCAGAAAAAACAGAAAGCTTACGAATGCATGGAAACTAAACAACTATCTACTGAAGAGAATGGGTCAAGATAAAAATAGAGAAGGGAATTAAAGACCTTCTGGAATACAATGAAAAAGAACACACAATATACACAAGCTTAGGGGACACAACGGAAATGGTGATATGAGGAAACATCCTAGCACTGAGTGCCTACATTAAAAAAAGGAAAAAAATAAAGAAATCTCATACTAGCAACTTAACAGAACATATGAAAGCTCTAGAACAAAAAGAAATAAGCATACCCAAGAGGAGTAGACAGGAAGAAACTTTCAAACTGAGGGCTAAAATGTACAAAATGGGAACAAAGAAAAATACAAGGAATCAATAGAAAATACACTTGGTTCTTTGAGAAAATCAACAAGACCAACAAATCCTTATCCAAACCAAGAGGCACAGAGAGAATATCCTAATTAATAAAATAAAAAATGAAAAGGGGGCCATAACAACAGAAAATGAGGAAAGCCATGAATTAAGGAAATACTTTAAAAACGCTTTATTCCACCAAATTGGAAGTTCTAAAAGAAATGGATATTTTTCTTGGCAGGTACAACTTACCAAAGTTTAATCAATATCACATCAACAATTTGAATAGACCTATAACCCTTAGTGGAAAAAAAAGGTCATTACAAGTCTTCCAGCCAAGCAAAGCCCGGGCCCACATGGTTTTACCACTGAATTTTATCAGACGTTTAAAGAAGAGTTTAAACCAATACTCCTCAAATTATTTGATGAAATAAAAACAGAAGGAACATTACCCAATTCATTTTACTGTGCCAGTTACACAGATACCCATAAATTCAGGCTTTTGTTTTTAAATGATCATAGATAGTTTATGTCAGATGCTACTACATCATATACATTGAACACAAGACAGAACAGTGGAAAGATGGGTTTCTAGACTGGTCCTTAACAATCTGGAGACTGAAACATCTGGAGGAATACAGACAAACTCTTCTAGAATAAATATACCTTCATGGCACACCAGGATTTGATATTGGTTGTGACCTTGTAATGATCCCTTGAGCAGCACCTTAGAGGCCTGTTCTTTGATGGCGGGGAGGGGGCATTGGGTTGGTAGTAAATCAGGGTTGTCTCCTTCATTATGGGAATGTAGCTTAATGGCTGCTTAATCCTGGTGAACGAACAAATATTTACATCTTCTCATATCAATCTCTAACAGGCATGGTTAGCATATTAGTGAAATAACTTTGGGCTATTTGGGAGGCAGCCCTTCCTTAGCTAAATTCTACTTTGTGTGACTTAGTGTCTCCCACGATACGGTTAATTTTTATAACATCAATTCTACTCTTCTATGTGAAGTGCTATTCTACACACGAGATGCCATTTACTAGCTCCATACAATTAATTCCAGATAAATTCTGAACCTAAATGTTAATTATTAAAAAGGCAGAACTACTGGAAGATACTGGACTCTCTGATTTTGGCAAATCTGTCTTCCATAAAGACAATTCAAGCACTATGGGTATCAGCATTTACAGGGATATCAAAAACAAGGACATTTCTAAGCACAGCCCAGCTCACAATGCTCTGCCATGACACTATGCACAGACAAAGCCCACAATCTGAAGTTATTCAGAGGCTGCCACCATGGCCAAGGGAATTGCAAGGACCACACACAACATGCAGGACATACAGGAAACAGAACCAGGCAGGGACATGCTCCACCTGAGTCTGGCCATTGGCTCCCAGTTGAGGGAGGACCAGCTGCCTAGTTTCAGCCTTGCCTCTGCAACTCTCAGTCTGGGGACTGGGGAACCTCATTCGCCATGGCTAGTCACCCCTTCCCATCTGGAGACAGCACCTCCTTACTTACCATGCTTACCAAGCTGGCAGGCTTGCAATTGCTCTACCCAGAGCAGAGTCCAAGGTCAAGGTCACACTGGCCAACTCCTGACTTCCTCAGAAGAGGAGCTAAGGCAGAACCCTGGCTCCCAAAAGAACCCTTCCATCAGATGTACAGGTCCGTGCACGAGTCTCTGATTGGTTAAGGAGACCTAGTGACAGGACCTGGTGAGAGGAAGATAGAGTGCTTAAAAGAACAAAAACAACCAACAACAAAAAGACAGTCTAGACAGATTTTCCATTCCCTATATGACATCATCCTTAAGTCTCTTTTAGGATCAGGCTACAGCTTTTACTTTGAACTATTTAAATAGGGACAGGAGACTACAAGTCTAGCCACTAAGACAGATGAAGACTTACAGAGAAAAATCTATCTTTTAGATCATAAATTATGATCTACAGTATAAAGATGTATCAATACATTTAAAGGAACACAAATACAAAAAAAACATCAAGGACAAGTCACATATCAGCACTCTGGAGGCTGTTCTTAGTTTAACAGTCCTGCTAAGCTATTTGAACCTCAGAATAAGGCTGTTTTTTGCCTCTGAGCTTGATGCATCAGAGGAAGGCCACAGTTGCTTCCATGCAGGACCAGGAGTTCATTTTAACTAGGACTGCCTGCTGTCTGTGTCAGGACTGTGACACCACTGTAAAGAATTCCATTTTTTAAGATTTATTTTATTTTATGTATATGGATGTTTGCCTCCAGGCATCTGTGCGCAGTACCAGCAAAGGCCAGGAGAGGGTAGCAGATCCCTTGGAACTCAAGTTACAGAAGATGGTTAGCTATCATGGAACGGAGCCTGTGTCTTCTGTAACACCAAGTGCTCTTGACTGTTAAGCTATGTTTCTAGGCAGCTTCTTTATCTAAAATTTATTTTCATACATTTTATTTAAAATGTATTACATCAATTTCCCCATTGTGGTCTTTTCTCGATCCCTTCCCATATTCTTCCCTTCAAATTCTTTTCCTGTTAAACAAATATATAAATAAAACCTTTTGAGTCCATTTCTATTGATTGTGTGTATATGGTTTGAGGACTGAACACATTGTATTGGATATGCAATTAGGAAGTTCATCCCTGCCTGAGGCTAATTCTCCCAACTGTAGGAGAATTCCACTCTTTAATGCACAATAATAAGAGTCTGGCCACACAAGGGAGATACCATGATCACGAAAGTAGTTTTCCCAGGGTGAGGCTTATCCATTGCACTCCAGATAAACTGACCCCTGCAACTTCCCCAAACCAGGAAACCCTGCATAATTTGTGGTAGTGGGGGACTTCATTCACGCTCTCCCCTGTTTAAAAAAAAAAAAAGAGTCTGGCCACAAAGTGATCTAGGCTGCCTTTGTCAGGAAACACTATCAAGACTAGAAGATGTTATCAAGAATAGACCAGTCACAATCTCCCTTTGTTCTGTGGTACTCCCACCATACCCCATCGACCATTTTCATCTTGGATGACTTTGAAATCCTGAAATTCCTACCTCCACATTCTAAGTAACATGATTACAGGCCTCTGCCACTATGCCTAGCTTAGTTGGCTTCAACTTCATTTAGTGAGGCATTAGAATGATGGGATGAGTAACATGAGGAGTTGCACTTAACTATATTCGCAATCTACTTATCTCTGTGAGCCTGGGTTTCAACATGTGCAGAATAAGGCAGAACTCTCCCCAGGTGCTTTGATGAGCTACAACAGACTCAATGATAAAAAAATAATATTCCTCATAGTTGGAAGACAGTGAATTTTAAGGCAGAAAAGCTGCATATGATGGGAATCTTCTTCTGTTACTGGGATTGGGACCAGAGTCTGTGTCCTGGCTACCCTAACTAGCCAGACCCAGTCACCCATCCTCAGTAAACCAATTAAATGAACCCAGTTATCTAGTGACATGCCAAATTATAATTCAGGCACTCTGGAGTCAGGATAGACAGATCTCTATGATGTCCTAGGACAGCCTATCCTATAGATAGTTTTAGATCAGATAGGGATCACATTAATACTATTCTTAAAAAGAAGAGAAACAGTGGAATTGGGGTGCATGCTGTAAAACTCCTAAAGTCATTAAAGAAGTTATATTTTAAAAAAGCACCAGGATTGCATACATAGTTTTACTTGGCTGAATTAGAGACAAGGGCACTTTTGGATTCTGGCTTAATTAATTCTGCTTAATCTCCTTGTCACCTCATTCATTAACCTAGGGCCCCCACAGTCACAGCAAACACTAAACTGATCCTAAATACAATGCTGGCTAAGCAGGTCTAGTGCTGTGACAAAGCAAGGCACTAAATGTTCCTACAAGGATTGCGACCTGTTATCAGTGGCCTAAAAGAACACACTCTGCGACTGCAAGAAAACTGTATTCCTTACTTTGTATTTGTGTAGATCTTCCTGGTACATTGTTACTGTCTTAGAAAAGAAATAATAGCTTCACTTAAAGACATGTAATCTCTCCATACTTCCACAGGACTGAAAATGTATCCTGAATTTAAATAATCTGAACCCCAAAATCTTAACTTCCAACTGAAGAATAGGAAATGTCCATCCCAATGACTGTCTACTTGCAAGCAAGAGCTACATTTGTTAGCATATTTCACATTTCCTGCAATACACAATCATAATTTAGATATATATTATGGGAGAAAATAACTGGAAGATAAATGGTATTTTACTGGGCACATACCTGTAATCCCAGCTCTTAGAATGTAGCAAGATTACCCCAAGTGTGAGATCAGCCTGGTCTACATAGATGAAATCCCAGAAAGCTACCCAGAAAAAGAAGCTCAAATATATCCATTAATTCATTAATTAAAAATTTGAAAACAGGGAAAACGTAATTCAGCTAAAACATTTTTAGTATTTGTTACAAAAAAGAAAGACACTTCCTTATATACAGTTAATTATATCCACAAGAAAAGCTTGAGTCTTTATTCAAAGGTAGGATACATGAAACAAAAAAAAACCCTTAAAAGCCAAGAAAATAAGTCATCTAATAGCCCAATTATCCTACTGTGAGAAAACCTAGAGATGAACTAAAAACTAATACAAAAGATTTATTAGGCAAAGGACTGGATGTATTTACAAAAATCATACCAAGGGAAAAATATTTTCAAATATCAAACAAGTATTTCTAAGGAAGGGAGCAACACAATGGTAGAACAATTGCCTCACGTAAGCCTGCCTGCATTTCACTCCAAGATGAACACTGTCTAGACTAGCATGAGCCCTGCCTGCATTTCACTCCAAGATGAACATTGTCTAGACTAATAGGGAATCAAAGATATGCAAAAGAATCATAATTCTAAAAGCAAATAAGATATTTTAAAAGGAAAGCTGAATAATAATGATGACTTTGAACTAATTTGTGTAGACAGGGGCCATAAATCACACAGACCGGAGCGAAAAACAACACTATTCTTCAACTCTGAATCAAAAGATATGCAGTATGAAAAAAGGAGCAACATTTTCACATTTTACATGTACAAATCATAAGCTGGACAGTGGCAAGTGTGAGGGTAAGAGCATTAAGACAAGGCCATCCTCGGGTGAATATGGAATTGAAGGTCACGTTGGCCCACTAAAGACCAGGTCCCAAAATAAGTTAAGTCTGGCCCAAAATTTTTTGCCTACAAGTGCTGTTCTACTTCTTCAAAGCACAACCAACACTGCCATTTAGTGGCCATATAAAAAGATCTCAGTCAGGTGTGGCAGCACACCCTTTAATCCCAGGGCTCTAGAGTCAAAGCCAAGCAGATCTCTGAGCTTGAAGTCATACTGCTCTACTCAGCAATGTCAGGTCCACCAAGGATACTTATTGAGACTATTTCAGAGAACCTAAAACAAAAGTAAGGCATGCTGGTATAAGTCTTCATCCCCAGTACTTGAGAGTCAGAGGCAGGAGAATCTGTCTGTGAGTTCAAGGTCAGCCTGGTCTACATGCAAGTTACAAGACAGCCAGGGCTACACAGGAAGAATGTGTCAAAAAATCAAAACAAGGTCTATTTTCAATACATCAAAATATTAAAGTCTTATATTATATAAGCCTAAAGAGTCTTTAAAATTTAAGTGTCTCCAGCAATCACAGCCTTTTATGGTACTGATAAAGATTCAAAATTATTCTTCTAAGCCACTAATATTAAATGCAAAAATATTTTAGGCATCCTCATAGGAGCCAAAGTATTCCAAAGTATCATTCTGTTATGTACAGTGTGTTATTTGGGGCCTCTGGAGTGGCAATGGACATATTTACAGAGTACACACAGAGACTCTATTAGTTACAATGCTGCTGGCCAATGCCAAGTGTTTCTTATTGGCTAGCTCTGTCTTAAGTATTAACCTATAACTACTAATATATGTATTTTTACAAGGTCTTATCTTACTGAGAATGCCAGACTCATGTGTCTGCTCCTCCCAGGATCACATGGTGACTCCCTACTACACTTCCCAGAATCCACCTTATATCCTAGTCCCCCTATCTTGCTTCCCTATTTGGCTAACAGTGTTTTATTCATCAACCAGTAAGAAAGGCATATTTACAGAATGAAATGCAAATCTAAACAACTCTGAGATACCATCTCACTCCTGTCAGAATGGCTAAAATCAAAAACACGGAAGACAATTTATGCTGGAAAGGGTGTGGAGAGAGGGGAACACTCCTCCACTGCTGGTGGGAGTGCCAACTCATACAGCCACTTTGGAAATCAGTATAGAGATTCCTCAGGAAAATGGGAATCAGTCTACCACAGGACCCAGCAATTCCACTCTTAGGCATATACCCAAAAGATGCAAATTCATACAAGGATGTCTGTTCCACTATGTTCATAGCAGCATTATTTGTAATAGCCAGAAGCAACCTAGATGCCCTACAACTGAAGAGTGGATAGAGAAAATGCGGTATATTTACACAATGGAGTACTACTCAGCATAAAAAAAACAAGGGAATCTTGAAATTCACAGGCAAATGGATGGCACTGGAAGAAACCATCCTGAGTGAGGTAACCCAGTCACAAAAAGACAAACATGATATATACTCACTCGTATATGGATTTTAGACATGGATCAGGAGAGTGCCAGTCTGCAATTTTACCAACAGAGAGTCTGGGAAACAGGAAAAAACCTAAGAGAGATATATGCATGGTACCCCAGAGAAGAGGAATGAGGCAAGATCTCCTAAACAGATTGGGAACACGGCAGGAGGTGTGTGTGTGGGGAAGGGGAGCTGGGAAGAAGAGAGGGGGGAGAAGAGGAAGAGAGAGTAGGTCATAGGGGAACAGGAAAGTTGAGTGGGGGGTAGGATAGGGGGGAGAACAGGATGAGAAATACCATAATAGAGGGAGTCATAGGTTTGAAGGGAGATCTGGCACCAGTGAGACCTCTAGCGATCTAAAAGGATGACACCAACTGGCAAGCTAAGCAATAGTGGAGAGACCACCTTAAATGCCCATTCCTGATAATGAACTTGACTTCTACCTTACATGCTATCCTAGAACCTTCATCCAGTGACTGATGGAAGCAGAGGCAAACACCCACAATTAAACACTGAGCTGAACCCATGGAACCCAGTGACTGAGAGAGGGGAGCAATGAGCATATTGGCAAAGAATGGGCAGGCGAAACCAGCAGAGACAGCTGATATGAACAAGGGAGAGCTCTTGGACCCCAAACTGACAGTTGGCAGGCCAGCATAGGATTGATCCAGAACCACTGAGTGTGAGAGTCAGTGAGGAGACCTGGGCAACCTATGGGGCCCTGGGTAGTAGATCAGTATTTATCCCTGGCATACAAATGGACTTTGTCTGTCCATAACACAAAAAGGGATGATCTCTCAGCCTTTACTCTTAGGAGAGTGCATGGACCCTGCCCTGAGCGAAAAGACAGACTCTGGATATCCCCTATCTGGAAGGAAGTGGGGATAGGGTGGGAGGCTGGGAGGGATAGTGAGAGAGTGCGGGAGGAGGGGAAGGAGAGGGAACTGAGATTGACATGTGAAGCAAGCTATTTAAAAAACAAAGTAATAAAAGAAAAAACATTAAAAACTACAGAATAAATGCACTAGCAAATAACCCTCTAGTGAGAAGATTCCACATGATGCCAGCCAAGTAGACAGTTCTTCCGTGAAACTCTAGAGCTACAAATTACAAATACCAACTTTAAGCCATTTTATTTAAAATTCTCTTAACTGTATGATTCAGAACAATTCAGATGGTGTTGAGTAAGCTGTAGTAAGCTCTATTTGCAATACTGATAAGCAGTCAAATTTGGTTACCATGACTCCACGCTTGTTGAGAATTTGTTTTTCA